AGCGCAGCAGCTTTGGGCCGCGCTCCGAGGAGAACTCGCAGTGGAACACGTAAATGCGGCGCTGTCCGGCGGACTGGTCGCCGGACTGGTCAGCTGCCTCCGTTGGAAAGGCATCCTTGATTTGAGCGCGTGTATAAAGGTTTAGCGCTCCACGAATGTGACCGCCATTAAACTCGTACGGATAGCGACAATCGATTATTTGGTAATGGCCCAACAGTTCGGCGAATTCGCCGCGCATCAGACGAGCCAGGGTTTCGCATGATATTGTCTTGAGGTCACGATGCCGCACGCCGGAGAGCAGCACGGGCAGGGCGCACGGCTTGCTCAGATCCCCGATCAGTGCCGGCTCCTCGGCCAGGGCATTGAGTATGTCCGCATCGTTCATGGACACGACTTTGCGCATTTGGTTCGTAGCGGGCGGGTGTTGCAGTTGTGCATCATATGTGGTTTTGCACTGCTCTGGGGGCATGGCATCCAGCGAATCCTGCTGGGACATGCTCAGGCAGCGACGTACGGAACGATTCTTAGGCGTTGCCTCGTGCTCGCTAGTCTTCAGCTGGCCGCTGATCAGTGCATCCAAATCGCCAGGCAGCTTGGCCAGCGGCAGCTGCTCCAACGTTTCCAGCTCAAACATGGCCATGTATTCGTCATCCAGCGAGTTGCTGGAGTCGTAGCTGGACGAGACGCTATTGAAGCTGCGCAGCGTGCTCGACTTTGGCGTGCCGCCGCCATCGAGCAGCGTGTCACGCATGTTCTGCGACAGCTCGGTGATCGGCGAAAGGATGCTCGAGTTGCCGGAAGTCTGGCGCTGCAGCATGCGCTGCAATGGCGACTCGGAGCATAGTTTGCCATTCGCCTTGTGGCGCTTCGCCGAACTCGGCTTGGTGTTCTCCAGATTGTCGCGATCTGACGCCAGCAGCTGTTCGGGCTCGTGCCCGCTTTCCTCCAGCATCAGGCTAAGCCGCTTCCCCGCCATGCCGCTGCAGATTCAGATTCAGTTTCAGTTTCGGATTCGGATAACGATTTTCTTGAAATGTTTCCTGCAACGATCCCGATCGCGATCTTAGCTTTTTTTTATGATCTTTTGGCAATTGGATATTCTATATTGAATGTTTGTACAATTTTTAATGGCCTCTCGATTGGCGGCGTTTCTTTCGTTTGCTGCTTCTCTCTGATTTTCGCGCTCTCTTTGCCCGAATGTCACTTATCGTTGGCGCCGTTTTCATCTTTCTCCCCACACATACACAGGCATAGACGCGCGCACGCACACGCACACGCGCGCACTTGCCGAATGGTAAACAGAGCGCGTTAGAGGTGGGCGATAGTTTGATCTTGAACTTTCATTATTTTAGTGTCAGCTGGTTTTCAAATTCACCACATTGAATTGATTTGTGCTTTGTGAGAAATATAGACATCAAATTTGAAGTAAATCTTTGTGCTGTTATAATTTTAGAGGATTTCAAGCAGTCACTTGTCTAGACCCAGTAAAAAAAGGGTCATTCAGATACTGGTGTGGAGTAAGTTCTTGTTCATAAAGGATAAGATGCAAATGTCTCTTCGGGCTTGCACAATAAAAAGTTAACATGTTTTTTTTCTTACACCATTTCGTGGTCAATAGCAAAAGTGTGCAGATTACGTGGACGAAAACTAGTTTAAAGAAAAGCAACAATCATTAGGGAAAGGAAAAACCAGGTAAGCTATTCTTCACAATTCACATTAATTACAACAGAAAGATGTGTGTTTAATATCTCACACACACAATGCGAGTGAAGCGGCCATTTCATGAAACTTTAAGCAAAGTCTACGAATGCATTCTAAAAGAACTTCAGTTACTGCTAATAGGAAATACTTAAGCCAAAGGAAATACTTAAGCCGTAATATGATATAATGATCCAAAATCCGAAGTCTCATTTACGACATATCGAACCCCGATTAAAGGCTAATCATTTACATACATACGTACATATATACTTTATGCATTATTTCTTCCTCGACGAGCACGTTTGTGTCATTTGGCCAAGTCTTGCCCGAACAGTTATTTAGCAGCTGGCTGTCATTTTAATCGGCCACGTTTTAACCTCAGCTGTCAGCTCGGCTAAAGCGCCGCTTTTGTCGCCGTTTCCATCGCCTTCGATCTGCGGCTGGATGTCATTACCAAATTCAAGCAAAGTGCTGTCAAAAGATAATTACCGTTTTAGCTTTTGCACAGACAACCAAATGACGCCAACGCAACAACAACAACAACAACAACAACAGCAACAACAACAACAACAACGTTGAAACCAGTTTGTGTTGTTGTCGTGTTTTTGGTACATTTCAATAAAACCACTAAAATTGTTGATTAATTTGCAAGCTTTTGATACAGAAGTTGATTTTGTTAGCTTGCAACAGAAAAGCAGCCGACTGACAGATACCCTGTGTTTGTCCGCAATCAAATTTTATTAGTTGTTAATTTAAATACTTTGATTCGGATTGGGCCCTATTTATCGATTATCTGCTTTTTAGAAACGTTTTTTACTGTTGTTTTTTGTATGACTTATATACAGTATAGAGCCAGATTTTTATTGTCATCTTGATTCTTATTGGATAAACCATTCGGATAACAAGGATAACTTATGATGCTTTTTGTGACCTGCTTTGCAGACATGTAAAATGCCTGTACACATTTTTGTAATATATATTCGATAATATATTTTTATTTAAGGGAGTTTTTTTGACTGTCCACAGTCCAACATTTTACTGCAACTTCTTTTGGGTCTAGTATTCAGAACTTCAAAGCAACTGAAAGCAATTGAAAAGTAACTTCAACTTAACTCACTGACTGACTGACTGACTGAGTGACTAGACTAAGTGACTAAGTGACGAGCTAGAAAGCTGAAATTTGCACTGCATGCAGTTGCATGTTAAGCCCGGGTTTCGGGAAATTCCACCCGCAAGAGTGGAAAAATGGCGGAAAAAATGTTTAAATGCACCTTTTTTGCTTACCATTCGATTGGCCTCAAATTCATTTCCATTTTTGTTGAAATTCATTTGAGGGGTGTTTCACGCTTTTCGAAAAACGTACTCCTTGGTGGAAATGGGAGTCAAAGTTGGGTTACGTGTCGTGCTCAAATTCATTTCGAAAGATCTATGCAAAAAATGCTTTGAGACATTTTTCACAATTTTCGCTGAATCCAAGTTTTCTCAGTGGAAGAGATTTACGGGATAAGTTGTAACTTTTGCTTCAAACTCCTACACAAGAACTGAATTAATACGTGCTTACGTTCCCCGCGCAACTGGAAATTTGGAGGAAAATCTGCTCATGTTTTATTGTGAATTATAGGTTTCAAACTTATTTTCAAACATCTTTTAGAAAATTTAATTGTTACGTTTCTTGCAAAATTCAATGCTCTTGGAAAGTGCGGTTCAAAGGTTTATTAAACGAAGGTTTATTTTACCGCTTCAATATTCTCACAACAAGACTACATTTTGTTCCTTATTCGATGCACTTTAAACGTATCTTTTAATAGAAGCTGAGATCAAGATGGTTCGGGTAGATATCAATTTTGTATAAAAGAAAGCAGCCAAAAAAAAAAAAATTACTTTAAATGAAAATTTAAATCAAAATATTGTTTTAATCATTTTAGGGCTCCAAGGCAAGGTTTCAGCCCTATTGCATACTTAGTACGGACTTTTATGGCTAAATTAAGCCGAGATTATGGCTAAATTAAGAACTGACAACATTCACTAGTATCTTCTGGTATTTGACTTTCAAAAGTGTCAGCTGGGAATCTTGTAGAGTAGATTTTGAAATCGAAACTCAAACGTTTCTCTTCAGCCTCACTTACAACAACAAATTGACAGGCTACTGGAAAAGTCGAAACACACACACACACACACTCATACACACACACACATAGATACGTGTATTGTGTATGCCTGTCTGCCACGATTAGTGGCAACAACTGGCAGCTCCTAAAAGCAACTTTATTGGCAAATGGGGCGAAGACGTGCATCATTTTATTATAGCATTTTTTAAGCACACGTCTGTACATATATGTGTATATACTATACATGGATAGGTATATATATTATTTTATTTTGTTGTTGTTGTTGTTGTTGTTGTTTTTTGCGCTCATGTGCGCGGCGCGTACAATTATTAATTTGATACGATATAATTGACATGTTGGCGATGCCAAAAGGAAGCACTAACATGAAGCCGGAGCTGGCAACGAGCTAAGCCAGAGCGACGCATATTAACGCCACACGTCTGTGGCCAGAGACCGGGCCACGACCGGGACGGACACTGGATCTTGTCCACGTCCCGTCCACATTCACGTCTTCGTCGGCTGTCTGTCCGCCTGGCTGGCTGGCTGGCAGGCAGGCGTGTAAATTGTTTTTACTTAATCGTTGCAGACACAAACGCACATGTTGCTTGCAACAGCATTTGCCGCTTGGTTGTTGGCTCTTGGCTCTTGGCTCTTAGCTGTTGGTAGTTGGCAGTTGGCAGTTGCCAGTTGGCGGTTGGCAGTTGCCGCTTGGCCGATCTCCTCTGATATCTCTGTGGCTCGCTTTTGGTAATTGCAGTTGGGCCTGTGCTTCTGTGTTACCTGCATAACCAGCGCCAATCTTTAGACGTTCGTAGAAAATTGTTATTGGTAGCTAACTTGTTGCTGTTGGCCAACTTAGTCGGTCAGACATGCAAATTCGTGTGTGTGTGTGTGTGTGTGTTGTCTAATGTTAGTTGTTTGTTATTTTTTATGCAAATTTTCGTGTTACTTTTCTTGTTTTCCTTTTGACAAATTGTCTGTTAGACTTAATGATGGAGCGTACGAGTAGTTTGAAACGTTTATGCGCATAATTGTGCGCTTATGCAGCCGTCTTCTCCATCTACGCCAGACAACTGACAATATGATACATATGTTATATGCAGCTATTCTTATGTGGCCAGCCATTGAAGGAGTTGTAAAATGTAAATGTTATGGAGTATGCCATTTGTTTGTTATTTGTTTGCCGCATATTAAATAAAAAAACCTCCTTGACTTGTCAGGTTCAATATCGTGTATGGAAAGAGTCTGCCGCAGGAGGCACTTATTTAAATGTCTTCCTTTTTTAAGCTACAGCTAATTTGTATAATTTGGTAATTTTCTTTGAATGATCAAGTCGCCTGTCTGCAGCACGTTCCCCTTGCTGGACTCAAATTGAAAACAAGTACTGGGAGCGGAGCTGCCCACTGATTAAAAGCGATCGCTTTAAGTATAATGTGGACGAGGAGCAGCGAGTGTTGCGATCTGTGAGTGAAATAAATGGCTGCATAAAATTTTGTAACCATAATTTGGTTGAGCACACGAAACAGATGAAGGAGAGTAAATTGTTTTATCAGTCGATAGTTTGTTGGCCTGGCCTTGTTGTTGCTTGATTTGGTTACGCCCCTTACCCGGCTGCCTGCCGACCCTGCATCTAGATACATGGCTAATAATCAGGCAGACGGAAATGTGTCTGTAGGCACAAAGTGTGGCCATTAAGCGATACATTATAATTAACTGAACAAGCCAAGGCGAAACGCGTGGAGTGAAAGGAAGTGGAGTCAAGCCAAGTCCAGTTCCGAACGGAATGCAGCTGCCAACGGAAATTGTTGATAAGAGTCGTATATAGTATGATAACATCATCAATAGTCTTGCCTGGGGTCTATACAATTATATAAATTATATGCAGCAGTTGTGTTCGTTTAAAATTAAATTAGTATAATGCCATTTTCTGCTGCTCTCCCTTTGTTGGGTTACACCTAAAGTCTATAATCTGTCGGCTATACCAACTTGTTCATAATTGCCAGTTTTTCACCGTCCTAGTCACACCATATCGCATGCTTTGTCGGCTTCTGCTCATCGCTTCTTACTATATGTCCACTAATTATATAGTTCACCTTGCTGGCGCATCTGCCAGTCAAAACACTTTGCCAGGGGGTGAAGATTTTGATGATGATGCAATCAATTCATCTGCCAAAACGCTACTTTTCTGCTACACAACTTTAAATAATAATTGCTTCAATTTAAATTATCCATCATTTGACAAGTCAAGGTGTTCACACTACATCCTACTGAAAGACTTTTCATTTATGAGGACTTGCTGGAGCTGTCAGTAAAAAGTGAGCTTTGCTTAGGAGTTTTTGCTCATCTATTATGAACATGGTGAACCTCTTAATCACCTTGTTTTTGTAAGATATCTTTAAAATCAACAATAAAGAGTGGTCTTATCTGCGGTGCCCGATTAGGAGATACCCTGACCCTAGTGTAAAGATGATCTTACTAGGTTCCAGCTTCCTTCTACGACAGCCCAGCATCTTGCCTTGTCCCCAAACTTTGAGTAATACTTCGACAATTTACTTCGGGACTTCTTGTCCGTTCTGTATCAATTTAGATGCCAAATGTTTGTAAATAGAAAAGTTTTTTCGTGGAGGGCGGGGCGTGAGGGCGTATGGGAAAAGTGAAATATTCGGCATCTGTTTCGAAAGTCTCCAGATATGCTGAAAAACCAGTATTACAAGCCTGATCCAAGAACAAAGAAAAAAATTTCTAAAATTTCAAGTATCTACATCTAATGAATCTAAGATCGAACTATTATTCATGCAGATGGACGGCCGTTCGGATTGATAGAAAGACAGACAGACGGACATGTCAAGATTGTCTTGGCTTTTAATGCTAATTGAGATTAAGTGCACTTGATGGGGAACCCATTTTCAACTTTTGACCGAATATACATATGGAAGCTATATGAAAAGTTAAACAAAGTCATGCAGACGGATCGATAGACAAAGTATCTGGGCATCATCCTAGATAAGCGTCTGACTTGTAGGCCACAATATTGTGCAATACATCCAAATTCACCCTGCTGTGTAAGAGAGCAGCATTCAACGATGTCATCGTGCCCTCATGGAGATACCGAGCCCAGATTTGGGTAATGGCCGCTTTTTTGAAACGTAAACGGGTTCAGAATAAAGCTCTGCGGCTTATTACTGATTGTAATTGGGACGTACACGGTTCGAAGCTTCACTGTAACCTGAATCTGGAAACTGTAAAGCTCCAAATCAATTGCTACACTAGTCGATGTATCGATCGGTTGCAGACAGATGCGAGCAGACTAGTCTGACCTCTCTCTGAAGCTTGTCCCATCACCGGGCTGAAAAGCTGTCAACACCTTACCCTGTTGCAATAATAACATGTGAAAGTGCTGTCTGACTATGGGATACCCTGAACACTGAGTCGGGAGCTCCGGACTATGGGATACCCTGAACCCTCTTCTTCCAACATCAAATGCATATATATATTCGATTTATTATTTACCGAAATTGCCCAAAAAACAGGATATCGATATCGATTTTTATCGATTGCTTGGAAACGGAGTAAGTTATTGATTATGGGAAACAAATTCGATCTGCGCAGGCACTAGGAGCACCTACATCTAAAATTTCAAGTATTTAGCTCTTATAGGTTCTGAGATCCTTGCGTTCATACATACGGACAGACGGACAGACAGAGAGACGGACATGGCTAGGTCGACTCGGCTATTGGTGCTGATCAAGAATATATATACTTTATGGGGTCGGAGATGCTTCCTTCTGCCGTAGTCAAACTTTCAATGATCGTGATTAGATGAAAGTAATTATCTTGGTTAATATCTTGTATGCCAATATTATATATATATAAAAATATTATTATTTTTATTTTGATCAGCGCTTTGAGATCTTATATAATATTTTGTGTCAATATTCGCCGGGTCTTAGGTGTTATTAGCTGAGATTGTGTAAGAGCTTAATTAATTAATTTGTGCTAGTAAGTTTTTGTACTCGGGTTCTGATTCTTTTTAGTCTTCTTGTGGATGCTTATATTATATGAAAATGCTTATATTCATTTGGTTGTGAAACTTAGGGCAATAATGATTGATGTACCATTTGAATCATATTAGCTTTGGGTTATAATTGATCTTTCTGAAAGGCTTATTTTCGACTTTTTTCTAACTCTGGCTTATCAAAAATCATTAGCAGCAAGAAAAATGACTAAAACAAAAGGTAAAGTGTGTAATTTTTATGGCCACACACCACACACACACACCGACACCAGCTATGCTTATACACACACACACATACACACACATTCACACTCGCAGAGGTAACACAATTTAACACCGCCGCCAATGTAGCCATCAGGCGGCATGCAATGTTCGGCTAACGAGCAAAAACAACTACAACAACAACAACAACAACAATAACAAGAAGAACAAGCATTACTGCCCCTGCCGCCGTTGTGGTAATCAATTTTAAAATTTATGACAAAATTTGCAGCTTTAAATTATGCCATTAAGCACGGCATGTAACTCATATCGTCAGGCGGCGTCGCGTTGGCTTGAAACAAGAAAAAGCTGAAGGAGAAACATGTTAACTGCTTTCTTGCAACTGTGTGTGTGTGTGTTATTGTTGATGTGTAGGTGTATGTGTGTGTGTGTGTGTGTGTGCCTGTGCATGCAATGGCGTTTGCATTATACGCTCGTATTTCGCCACATTCAACAACGCGGCAGACTTGACGGGTGCCATAACTCATGCCCCGATGCCGGAGCCAGTTGAGAGTCCGACTCGGACTCCGAGTCCGAGTCTCTCTGTATGTGTGTGTGTGTATGATGGAGACGGAGCAGCAGTTGTTGCAATTACAACTGGACACCACATGCTACAGCTGCCATGTGCTCATGTCTGCCATGTGTGTGTGTGTGGAGTGTGAGTGTGTGAGTGTGTCGGCGTGTGTGTTAAATATTGCAATTTATCACGCAAATGCGTTTTTCAATTTTAACATGCCGCCAGGCATCATAAAAACGTTACAAACCTACAATATGAGCCAACACACACATACATAGATGACAGCAACAACAATAATACTAGGGGAATGGGTGGAAGGGGTTCCGTTGTATACCCCACAAAAGGGAAGTGGCCAGTCCCATAGATCTAAAGCACCACACGCTGCCCACGTTGATGACGGCTCACGTATCGTTTATACACAAAATGTGGAAAAAGAGGGGAAACGAAGTGGAAATGGGTAGACACAGCTGGGGAGCTAACTTGGAAGCCAAGGTGTACGGCTGGCTGATGAGAGATGGTTGATGGAACACGAGAAGTGCATTCGCCAATGTTGCAGCAGCTTAACTTTAAATAGTCAAAAGTGCCTCAGATGACGTCTACGAGATGGCCACGAATCAGACACGCAATGCTCAATCCATGGAGACCTTATAGTTGGCCAAAAAGTTGAAAAGCCCCGTTGGGTTTTATCATAAAGGTTGCTTAATTGACCGTCTTTTATTTACAGTACTATTAAAGAAAGCATGCCTGACCCATAATTCCATCACGCAATGTGCAATATTTAAATTGTATAAAACAATGCAATATATACATATAATAATATGATTTTAATATATATACTTATTTAATATATATACTTATTTATGTTAAAAATATTTTCTTTCTACACAGAGTGAAAAATTAAGAATTTCGTACTTGCATCAAGTAAAGCCGGTCATAAAAGTGAGATATGACCGGTAACACTTGATTTAAGTATGAAATTCTTATTTCAAGTACATCTTTTTAAGTACGAAAATACTTAGTTGTTACGTTTTTCAGCCTTATTATGCTCAATTTAAAAATAGAATAGTATTGAATCACGTCTTAATCATTCCTAGTATAAGAACAATATGTTCTTAATCCAATCCAAGTTTGAACTTTAGTTCATATAAATCTTGATTCAAGAGCTCACGCTCTTAAATCATATTAAATTTATTACTCAAAATACTTGTTTTAATCACATTTTGGTCAATATACATATGTGACTCTACGAGCGCCCAATTTCTTAAGATAATTTGCACTTTTCGAATTGCAAAACATTGTTTATCGATCTTTGGAGGAGCAGCTAATTAGTCTGCACTGATATATATTTTACACTATCTGCCGAGTATTTGCTGAAAGTTTTCAGTCGAGAAATCGTCATGATACTCTTTAAAAGTCAACTAATGGGCTATCAGCATGAAACGTGGCTATCGCTAAATTAAAAGCTCTGATAATTGCGAATTGCTAGCGTAACAAAGTTCGGCTCTATCTTGAGATAATGGGAGATGAAGTATAAACTTCAAAGTTGGCTGTCAGTGTGACACGTGCGGTATATATACGACACATGATGCGTCTATGCGTTACACAATTCGTGACAAAATTAAAATACACTCAGACGAGGGTATAAACATGCAGTTTATGCTATTGCCCGAAAAGGTGCACTCAATTAATAGTTGATTTGCTTTACAAGGCCCAATTAGCTATGCACAGTTCGCCTCAGCTCGGCTCGGCTTGGCTCGGCATCAATGTCTATCAGACTCTTGCCCCTTTTGGCATTTGAAAATGTTAATAACAGCCATGGATATGGACAGAGGACACGCCAGTATGGTAACGATGTTGTTAACGTGGCCGAGTCCATGCGCTAGCCGGGGCACTTGTCATCTGGTTGTTCAACTGTCGATTGGCCAGAGAGACATTCGTTGCAGATAGCGGTCTAAATAGCTGGCCATGTTGAGGCTGGTTGCGCTGCCATTTAATCTTGCAGTCAGCGCCTGGGGCTCGAGTGTGTGGCGTCCATTAGGTTATTCGCAATTTGCAAATCAAATCAACGACATTCGTTTAAAATGCGATTCATTTCATTGGTCTTGAGATAACGACCTAATAGACTCCGACTTTGAGTGCTTGCATGCGATCTTGTAGATTAATAAATAATAAGCGATAAGAAAATGGTTCATCTAAAAGTTTATATTATTCAGTTTACTTTGGCTATTCAGAAATCTGATCTCATGATTTCTAAACAACGGGTGTGGCAATGATGACTAAATACTTTGCAGTCGGAAAGACATCTCATTTTAAAATATATTATATATTTTGTTTTATAAGTCGAGATCAGTTATCGCCTAAACGAAAACAAAACAATCATGAACGTACAAATATGTATGAATGTATGTATGTATGTATGTGTGTGCATGTACATTGATACATCAGGGGCGTCACTAATGAAGTTTGTTATAAAATTTTATGACGCTCTTAAAATATTGTATTTTAATGATTAGCTAAAACAGCCCGAGGCGTCAGTTAATGTATTCGCACTAAATGTAAAGTGGGCGACGAATTTGCATTCAAATATCATTAATAAACATCTTAAATAATTATACTTATTAATACGTTAAAGCAACCTAAAATATTTTTCACATTCAAATTTGGTTACGTTTTCGAATTTACTAACAAAAATATTTTGCACATTTACAACTATCTAAAATTTCCTTATAAATAATCAGGCAAAACTACGCGTGGATATTACGAAAAGTGTGAATTCGAGGTGTTCAATTGAATTTGAGCAATGACTAATGAAAATTAGTTTGAGACCGAACTTCAGTCAGGAGAAAAAGTCTTCTTTGTAGAGATTAACAATAAATATTGCAAACTACAAACACTGAAGAATTGTGTGTATAAAATAATCACACAAAAATACGCGTGGATTCTATGAAAAGTATACAACATCCCTAATGAATTTGGGCAATGACTAATGAAAATGAGTTTGAGACCGAGCTTCAGTCAGAAGCCACAGTTTTCTATATAGAGATTATTGATAGATATGGCAAACTATAAACACTAGAAGATTGTGTGTACATATATAAAGTCGCATTTATTTGGCATAGCTTAATTTGATGAATTAGCCAAATTCACAACTTGACAGTCAATTTTGAAAGACTAACAAAATCTTCGAGGCGTGAATTAAATAAATATTCATTTTCGCTAGCATATTGCTTATTGATAAATTTAAATATTAAATTACCGCAATATTTAATGTCAACAAATTTCGCAAATGTCGTAAAGTTTCATACGGAATTTTTATGCGCAACGCAATGAACTACGCGTTTTGTTATTTCGTTTCGATATATTGTTGGATATTTATTTATAAGAAGCGGCATAATTTTGGACAAATTGAAATGTGTTAATATGAAGCGCTATGCATAATTTATAATTTTTAATGCAACCAAGAAGTAAGAACTAATGAGACAAGATAAACAGAATAAGGCAAGAGGTTACGACTTGTTTTTTGTTTTTATATAAACTAACATCCATGATCCAACTGTCAAGAGCCATTTGAATTTAGCTAAAATATCAGAGCTGTTTCAAAATTTATGTTAATTTATAGCGAATTGTAAATAAGTGGCAAGGCTCACGATTTTGCTTTGCAAGCAAGCGAACAATAGATTTAATATTTTATGAACTTAAGTTTATTGTGGATTTCGAATTAGTTTGTCGTGCCTTTGACTTGATCACATTTAGTTCAATGCAAGAGTCATTCGGCATTGTTGCCTTTTGTGATTGAATACATTTTATTGCTTTGTATTCAATCAAATTAGATAACAATGAATATGATTTGTGTCGCTTTTGATGTGCACAATGAAAATTAATGCGGAAGCTTACACAATGAATTTCATGGCGGCAAAGCTAATAAAAAATATACGAGTATTATTTAAATTGATTTACATGCTCCTAATGGGCTCTTATCCAATGTTTTTTTTTAATATTGGGTTTTTATTAGGCTGCTTCTTGTACTCAACATAATCTTTTCAATCCTTGTGAAGGAAATTTTAATTTTGTCATGAAAGAAAACACAAAATATCTATATAAATATATTTTCTTCAAGATATCTTGACTAACCAGTGCATACGATATAGCTCAATAGAAAAGAGTCGGCTGATAAATTATTTTTTTAAAGTATCTTGAAAGTATCTTTACTTTTTCAAAGTATCTTCACCAAACTCAGCAACTACAAGCTTTACCATTCTCTTTGAATACCTGCGCAACCATAAGCCATTCCTTTATATTTAACGGCTGAGTTTTGGAACCTGGGACTTTAGAAAGCATCCACTTTTGTAATTGTAATGAAGGATATCCACAGAATGTTATACCTTAGCATTTATAAATTTAGATTTTCATCCGTAAAGTGCACTTTTGACACTTCAGCGAAGAGAACAATAATTTGGTCACGATATGTGAACTCATTGTATTTTGGAAGGTGACGATAACCTGAGCTTATAAGCCCATGTCCAAATGTCGTTTGGTTTAATGAGAACTAACGATCGGTCGTAAAACGAGTTTCTTAATGTCTATGAATTTTTGACAAAAAAAAAAAAACAAATACCATAACTTAATTTATGGATTATGGTGCTAAGCCATCATAAGATTTCATTTCGATAGTTCTGGTTTTAATGATATATGTTTAATTTTTTTTGTTTTCAAAATGGGGTGCAGTTGCTATTTATACTCATTTAGAAGGTAGCTTAGGCAGGAAATGTACCATATTTCACATTGGCAGGCATAGAGAATGTGTATTAGGACAACTTACTCTTTTTATTCCAGCCAGAATCGGTTGAAGTGCAATTTGACAAGCAAATTTGTTATATGTCTGCCTGTCTGTCATATTTTTCTTAGATGATGTAAGCTGACAACTTTGTATACCAACTGTCCAACTAAAACCGATTTAAAGGCGAATTCATTTTTGCGGGCGAAATTTGCCGAATCGCTGAGATATGTATTCATTAAGTCCTTATGTGGAGCTTTTAAAATAAGTTTGATGCAAATCAAACTAGACTTTGATCTTCTTTAAATCACATTTGTTCAAAGCAGACTTCGATTCTGCGAAAAATTTGAAACACATCTCAAGTGGTTTTTCATATAGTTCCCAGGCAATGAATTTGAAAACTAAATCTTCGACCTCCATTTCCAACAAGGAGGAATGCGCTTTTCGAAAAGTGTGAAACACCTCACAAATGAATTTTGAGCAAAGATCTTTGAAAATGAGTTTGAAGCCGACCGGATTGTAAACAAAGAAGTTTCATACAAAGGTTATTTGCGATTTTTCCATACATGCAAATGAAATTTCCCAGCTATAGAGATGGACAGAAAGGTAAAATTATAAACAGCAAGTTTTCATTTTGTATCGTCGTTAGTCTTTCACCTGTATTGAGGGTATTTAATCAACAGTCTTTTCCTCTGATGAATGATTAAGTGGTTTTATGCTAATTACTTAGATGTTGCGGATTGCATGAGCCATTTAATTTATTTTATAGTTTTGTTGATGGAATGTTGGGTATTTGATTTGTATTATCCGTGCTGACCATCATCATATTTTAGTTGATTGCTTTGCATAATTTTCAATGCGGTCAAATTAATTAGCGTGGGCTGTTGTAGCTCTTGTTTCTGTTTGCTGTTTGTTGTTCGTGTTGTTGCTGGTGTGTTAACAATTTATTTATGTAAAGTTAATTCGGTGCCAATGCAAGAG